CAAACATACACACACATACATACATACATACACACACACAGGGTCGTCCCAATATGCGTTTTTGCAATTTGCGTATAGGCAAAAACGCATAAAAATACACACATACACACACGGACAAGGTCTTCCCAATATGCGTTTCTGCTATTTGCATATAGGCAAAAACGCATAATGAAAGCATTAATCTGAGCCAAGAAACTCGCAGTTAACAGCAAAATCCCGTTGAATTTGCAACGCCAAACTACTGATTAGTTAGATTTGAAAAAAGTATTTTTGTACCATCCGCTTCAACGACCCCCTGAAAATTTCAGCATCCGAGCTTTGCTAATTCCCGAACCATTTTACCGCCAAGAAATTTCGCAGGGCCGTAAGTGAGAACCGCGCATGCCTAGGGGATGAATTTGATAGCTTTAAGTCGTACATGGGCTGGGAACATTCCTCAGAAATTTCAGCTTTCCAGCTACGCTAGTTCCCGAGTTAGCCATTTTCCCGCCGAAAAAACTGACGGGACTACTCGCGGGAACCACGCACATCTGGAGACTGAATTTGAAATCTTTGAGTTATATGTGAAATCTTTGAGTTATATGTGATCTCAAAATTTCAGGTTTCAATCTATTCTCGTTTCCGAGTTATCAATTTTCCCGCCAAAACTTTCACTTCCCATTACGCGGGGCCCAGACATGCGTGAGGGTTGGTACTGCGGTTCTGGGTGGCACTTGGCCGGGGAACCTACTAGCAACATCTTGGCGCTGAAATTTGCTTGGTTGCCGAGTTGAAATACCCGGGCAGACGAACACACACACACACACGCAAACATGCATACACACACACACACACACACATACACAAGATCGTCAAAATATGCGTTTTTGCAATTTGCGTCTAGGCAAAAACCCATATTGGTGAGAATGTGTGCGTGTGTGTCCGCATTTTTTGTCACCCGCTTTCACCTCGAGAACTAGAAAAGTTAGAGAACTGAAACTTTGGAAGTGTGTGCCTGTCTCTTGTGTGACCCTCCTCCCTCTAGGAGCCTCATTTTCTTGTTTCTTTCCCGTTCCATCCCCCTCCCCTCTCTCCATTGGTCGTTGCTGGTGTGAGCAACGACCGAAGGGATAGTGGGACAACCGAAGGCGGGGGGAAGGGGAGAGAAAAATCACCCAAAATCCCCTCCCCCT